CTCCGGACTGGCCAGCCTGTGCCCCGTCCACTGCTGGGGCTCTACCCCACCATGCAAACACCCCAGGAACCTGGCTGCAAGGAAAGGACAAGGAGCCACCACCCTTGGGCAACCCCTGGACACCCCTGTAGCCACCCCTGTAGTCCCAGTCCCCACAGCCGTACCCTGGCCAAGTGGCAGATTGCAGCTCCTTGGGCAAAACGCCTCCAGGCTTGGCTGCAGGCAGCTGTGCCTCGAGGAGGGCGACGCGGTGCACCAGGCTCTGCAGGTCACGGTGTGCCCGCAGGGCAGGCGGGCAGAGGGTGCCGTGGCCATCTGACTGCCAGCCCTCATCCTCGTCCGTGAGGCTGTGGGCTGGGGAGGCCAAGGCTTTGGGGCCCGGTGGGGGCCGCTCGGCCCCTGAAGTGTAGCCACTGGTGATGGAGATGGAGCGGGCACGGCGCTGCAGGTTCTGGATCACCTTGTTGGCATTGAGCAGCTGTGCCTTGAGGTCCTGGATGTGCTGGTGCAGGGCTCCCACGTCCTCCAGGGCCATGGCTTTACGAACAGCCTTGCCTGCTCTGGGCGTCCCTAGCTGGCACAGGGACCCCAGCTCCTCACCCAGGCTGGGCTCGCTGAATACATCTGGCTCCTCGCACTCTGCAGAGGGCATAGTGAATCATTTCTCTGTGCCACGTGGGCAAAGCACAGGGATCCCTGGAACCCTCTCTCTCCTTACCAGGGCTGGTGGTCTCGTCCCGGTCAGCCTCAGTCTCACTTCGCCCACACGTCTCATAGCCCAGATCTTGGAAGTCCACCTGCACTTGCTTGCTGAGCTGCTGGGTGTGAGGTTCACCTGCCGGGCAGACCCATCAGCTCAGGGTCCCCACCAGGCAGAATTCAGCACCCCTGCCCCATGCACAGCACAGTGCACAGGGTATGCCAGGCTTGACACAGACCCCCCCATCCCACCCAGAGTTTTGACTCACAGAGAAGGACGTGGTACTTCTCCAGCTGCTCGGCTTGTGCCCGCACTGTGGCCTCCGAGGCAGCAAGTTTGTCCTGCAGCTCCTGGCACTGCCTTTGGCCCTGTGTCACCTGGGAGCACAGCTGTGCACCCAGACCTGGCCAGGCCCTGCCGGGGACCATGCCCTCCACCTGACAGAGGGGAGATAGGCTGTCATCTCCCCGTTTCCATCCATCCTCATCTCTATCTTCATCCCCATCCTGGTCACCTACACACTCACCTGGCTCCCATCCCCTCCACCCGGGCTGGCAGGGCAGGG